ATAAAAGTTTACCTAGGCAGAGATGGCTTGGGGCTACACATTTGGGTTCTGACACTCTTGTGTAGCCACTGGCCAGCAAGACTTTCATTTGGCAAAACTTTGAGTAGTGAAGCAACTCACAACACACCAAAAATTCGAAAGCATAAAAATTATAAATTTACACCAATGGCTATTCAATATAAAAAGAGGCAAGTGGCCCTGGGGTGTGGCTTGGCTGGTAGCATTCTTGCCTACCATGTACAAAGCCCTAAATTTGAACCCCAGTACTACATAAAGTAGGTGTGGTAGATTACTCCTGAAATCCTAACTCTTAGGAGGTAGAGGTGGGAGGATCAGAAGTTCAAGGTCATCCTTGACTATATAGCAAATTCAAGGCCAGCCTGGGATACAGGAGACCTCTGTCTCAGATAAACAAACAAAAAGAGGGCAGTCATGACATCAATAACAGAGTAGGGACAAAGAGACAGATATAAAGAAGAGATTTTATATGGTTTGAAGTTCCATGGTCAATTTAAAATAGATAGTTCTAACTTTAGAGTGTTTCATGCAACTGTAATGATAAAACAGAGACTCAAATCAAGATACATCACTACAGAAACATCAGTGGAAACAAAGAGGGTAGCAGGGGTGGTTGATTTTGTTTTTAAATATCAGCAAAATTGATAAAACTTTAGCTTGAGTAAGAAAAAAAGAGGATTCCCAGTAGACATCAGAGTGAGGGCATTATAACTGATGCCATGAAAAAAAAGAACTAGGGAAGACTGCTACAGTGCCAGCTAACTGAATGAACTAGAGAAATCCATGAAGTTCTAAAAACACAGAACTTATCAAGACTAAATCATAGAGAAGTACATTTAATCAGTAATAACAGGAAATCAAAGCCATTAAAAAATAAAACAAAATAAATGTTCTTAAAGGCCAGGATGTAGCCCAGTTGGTAGAATGTTTTCTTAGCATGCATGAAGCCCTAGGTTTGATCCCTAGCACAACATAAAACCAAGTATGGTGGTATGTGCCTCTAATGCTGCACTCAGGAGGTGAAGGCAGAGGGTTCAGAAGTACAATATTTTCTAGGGTACGTGAGACCTGTCTAAAGCAACAACAAAACTCTCCTTAACATCCTTACATAGAAAAATAGAAAAGTCCAGGGCCAGAGAGCATCACTGGAGAATTCCGGTTCATTCTCAAACTCTTCCAAAGAACTGACACAGAGAATTCTTTCAAACACAATCTATGAGGCCAGCGTTACTGAGATCAAAGCTTCCTTTTATGATCAGGAACAGGCGAAGCTCCTCATTAGCAGCCAACAAAATCCTGGAAACCCTAGTGTTGCACAGGACTGTCCTCCAACAGGTAGACCATGGACAGATGCCATCTTCCTAAGCCTGGTTGTACCTGCTTGCCTAGGATCATCACAGCTAAGTTTGTTGACTGTTACTCTCAGCAAGAAGAGAGGGGCAGGGAGGGGGGCTAAGAATATATAAACTGAGGAGGCCAAGGGGAGGTTATCTTACCACTTTGTGCCACTGTGAGGAAGGAATCATCCATGCTGGGATGAAAACTTTTCAGTGCGGCTTTTGGGTCAGGGGGGAGTGGCATACTCCTATAAGTAAACTCACCCATTGCTCTGGAAGTAAGCCCAATAAACTCACTGGTTTCCCAGACTGCAATTTGGTGAAACTTTACCTCAGTTTGTTGTAGGGACTGAGGAAGGAGGAGCAGACACTGCTTATACCTCCCAGAAGGAATTTTAGCTATACCTAGCTAGAGCCATCAGACAACAGAGCATCAAAAGCATTCAAAGTAGAAGGACATGTGTCACTTTATCACTGTATTTGCCTTCTCGATGTGTTGCCTCTTGACATACAAGAGAATTGTAATGTTCCCCCTCTCCCTGCCTCACTGAGACAGGGTTTCACTACTCAGTCCAGGGTTACCAGGAACTCATTATGGTCTAAAGCTTGCCTCAAATTATAGATCCTCCTGCCTCTGCCTCACAATACTAGGATTACAGGTATGTGTCACCATATCCAAGTAAATTAGTAAAAGTGTAAACATGATGTAGTCTCACTTGTCTGATTTGCTCCTGGTGTCATATCCAAGAAGTTACTGTCAAACCCCATGTTCTAAAGCTTCTCTATGACATTGCCTTATATGAACCCACAAAAAGCTACTAAGAATAAATAATTGCAGCAAAGTTATCGGATACAAAATGAACAGTCATTTTTATCCACAAACTGACCAATACAAAAAAATTAACAATCCTATTTACTATAATGTAAAATGCTCAGAATAAACCTAATCAAGGAGGTAAAAGACTCAAGGTAAACTATAAAACATTAGTAACAGAAGTCAAAGAAGAAAACAAGGTGTTGCATGCTTCTAATCCTAGCACTCAGAAGGCAAAAGAACGAAATTCTGAGTTGAGGCCAGCCTTACCGACATGGCAAGTTTAAGTTCAAGAGCCTGTCTTTCAGAATAATTAAGAATAACAAATGTCCATACAATACAAAGTCATCTACATATTCTATTCAATTCCTACCAACATCCTCATTGTGTATTAAAAATTTTTTATTTTATGTGTATGAGTGTTCTGCCTGCATGTATGTAAGTGCACCATGTTCACACAATGCCTGTGGATGCCGAACGAGGGCATAGAATCCCCATGAACTAAAGTTACAGAGGGTTGTTAGCACCATGTAGGTGCTGAGAACTGAACCTGGGTCCTCTACAAAAGCAGCCATTGCTCTTAACTGCTAAATTATCTCTCTAGACCCCTCATTGCATTTCTTAACAGAAACAGAAAAAAAATCATTATAGTCATGGGATCTCAAAGGATCACAGTCAAACAAGCTTGAGGTCTCTCACTTCCTGATTTTTATATGTACTTCCAAAGCAATGGTAATCAAATCAGTGTAATATCAGCATAAAGACATAGGAACAGACCAGCTGCATAGGACAGAGAGCCCAGAAACAAATCATTGCATACATGATCAAGTGACTCTCCACAAGGGAACCAGGGTTACACATGGGGAAAGAACAGTTTCTTCAAGAAGCGCCACTGGGAAACTGGACAGTCACATACCAAAGAATCAAGTTGGACCAATATTACTAATACCTTATATAAAAATTATCTCAAAATGTACTAAAAACTTGAACTGATGAGCTACAATTATAAAACTTCCAGAGTTTGCTTCAGGACATGGAGTTTGGCAAGGCTGTCTTAGACATGACACCCACAGCACAGACAACACACAACAAAACAGAAGAGTGGAACATCAGATGTTATAAACGTTAGGTAGGTATAGTGGCACCTTGGGAGGCTGAGGCGCAGCAATCTCTAGTTCCATGCCAGCACAGGCTTCATAGTGAGACTCTGTCTCAAATAAATAAATGAATGAATGAATGAGCAAACAAGAAACAACCCAGAGAAAGGAGAACATATAGAATAAGAGGAAATACTTACAAATCATAATAAGGTAAAAAAGTCAATCCAACTAAAAAATGGACAAAGAATTGAACAAACATTTCTCTAAAGGGGGAGACACCAAGGGCTGGCAAAATGACTCAGCAGGTAAAGGCCACTTGCTGCCAAGCCTGACAACCTGAGTTTAAGCCCTAGGACCCACAAGGTGGAAGGAGAGAAACAACTACTGCAAGTTTTCCTCTGACCTCCACATGCATGCCATGACACACATGTGTATACACACACACACACACACACACACACACGTGCACTAATTAAAAATGTAATTTAAGGGGCTGGAGAGATGGCTCAGAGGTTAAGAACACTGGTTGTTCTTGCAGAAGACCCAGGTTCGAATCCTAGCACCCACATGGCAGCTGACAATGGTCCATAACTCCAGTCCCAGGGGATCCGACAGCCTCTTCTGACTTCCGTGGCCATTGCACGACACAGGTGCACTTACCTACGTGCAGGCAATACACGCATACACATAAAAATAAAAAATAAAATTTTTTAATGTAATTTTAAAAAGACTCACAGATAGCAAACACATGAAATAGTGCTCAATATAACTAACACAGGAGAATGCAAATTAAACCACAAGATGCTACTACACCCTGTTAGGACAATCACTATTAAACACCAGAAAATAGCCTGCTATACAGGATACAGAAAGTGGAACCCAAGAACACTGTTGGCAGGAATGTAAAATGGCAGAGCCACTCCAGAAAACTGTATGGAGGTTCCTCAAAATTTAAAATAGAACCCCATTTCTAGGAATATAGTCAAAAGAATTCCAAACAGGAACACCCAGGAACGTGTGTATTTATGTTCACTGCAGCATAATTCACAACCATAAGAGCTGGCAACGGTCCAAATGCCCATCATTAGATGAATGGATAATGAAAATATAGCATAGAAATGCAACCAAATATTATGCAGCCTTAAAAACATGCTACAATCTAGACAAATCTCAAAGACATTACACTGAACAAAATAAGCCAGTCACAGGGCAAATACCATATGGTTCCATTCAGGGGCTGGGGAGATAGCTCAGTGGATAAAGTGCTTGCTGCACAAGCTTGAAGACCTAAGTTCATCCCCATCATCCACCTAAAAAAAGTCAGGCACAGCAGTGCATGCCTGCATTCCAGCATTGAAGAGGCAGAGATGGGAGGAGCCCTGGACTTGCTGGCCAGCCAGTCTCACTGAACTGGTGAGCTCTAGATTCAGTGAGACCTCCTTCTTCAAAAACTAAGGTAGAGAGAGATTGAGGAAGACACCCAACACTGACCTCCAGCCTCCACATGCAAGCACACACACACAAGTGCACACAACAAACATGCACATAAACATACATTCAAACAAAAAGAAAAAAAGTACAACTTATATTTTAAAAATTATAAAAGCCAAACAAAAGAGCTAAGGTAGGTTTATTTGTGCTTTTAAACCTTCCTGTTTTAATGAAAATATACCCTCTGTAATACTTTTTATTTAAAATGGTGAAAAACATAAGGGGAAAAGCCACACTTACCTGAATGTAATAGATGCCCTTCTCCTGAGCATACATCATCAGAAAGCAATAATCCAGGTTTTGCTTTGTTCTCCATCTGAAACAGGTTCAGAGAATGGGTTAGGAACCAGAGCCCAAGTTAGTAAAATCAGATTACATGTATAACAAATGCAAACACACAGGAAAGATAGAGTCACTTTTCTCCAATGATGCCTTTACCGCATACTCCTAAGATCACCAAGATACCCTGAGGAAAGGAGGATCCAGGTCTGGTCTGGGAATTTGGGGAACACTGTACACACATTCTCCTTCTAGAGATGTGTCAGCATATTAGAGCTGCTGAAACATCAACAGTAAACATTTGCTGAGAAGAAAAAAAAGTTGAAGTAGTAAGAATGGAACTCAGGGGCTCAGTAGTAAGGATGCATGCCAGGCAAGCAGTCTACTTCTAAGCTACAACCCCAGCCCAAGGGGGGAAAAATCTAATTCAATACTTTCCAAGCTTGCTTGACCACAAATCTTTTCTTCAGTAGTATCTTTGTATCTCATCGAACCAGTGCTTGGCCAATTATGTTTTAGGGAGCATGACTCTGGTGCCTAGAGCTGTGTTTTGTATACAGTTAGAGATTAATAATATGTACTGAATGCAAGCAGAAGTTAATGAATGTATTAAGTGAGCTAAAAACACATCTAAATCTACAATACTGACTTTTCATTGAATTCCTGGAATTCACAGAAATTGATTAATGTTAAGTAAGAGAAATGGTTCCAAAAGCAGCTTAAGGAAGCACAATCAACACCTATCCCACGTTGGCTCATACAAAGAAAACTTCTCAGAATCTATCTCCCAAGCTGCCCTGGGTTCATAAAATGACCTAGACAATGTCACCAATTCCAGCCTGGCAACTACTTCCTCCTCCTCCTCCTTTTTTTTTTTTGCTTTGTTTTGTTTTTTAAGACAAGGTCTCATTATGTAGCCCTGGTTGGCCTGGAACTTGCTATGCAGACCAAGCAGGCCTCAAACTCACAGAAATCTGCCTGCCTCTACCTCTCGAGTGCTAGGATTAAAGGCATGGGCCACCACACCTGCCCAGCCTGACATATTCTAAACTTCCATGAGTAACTCTGTATTTATCGGACATCACACTGACAAGAATGGCACCCCTCACCTTACTCTTTCCTTAGAATCTCCAAATGTCTCCTTCAGGTTGGTTAGGTCAGGATAATAGCTCTCAGGAGGTGAGATTATTTCCACCAGGCCAGAACTGATTTCTCTAGAAAACCTATTATGAGAAAGGTTAGCTGAATTATTTCACTTCTGTGGATTTCATTTATCTTAATGCTTGATTTACCATATTTAACATAAAATGCATGGGTAAACAGGGTGTGAGAGGGATGGTTATAATGTTAAATGAAGTACACATCACTAGCTTATTTACCAGAAAATACAAACTTCTCTAATAGTGCAAGTTTTGAGCTTTTTTCTATTTTAATAACATTTTTAAAAAACAGTAAAATGTCAGAGAAGAAACGGTGAAATGCAGCAGGGCTCCTAGCAAACCACAGGCATTACTGTCCTAAGTAATCCTATTTTTAAAAATAAGCAAACCAAGGTCTCACAGAAAGCAGAGACTTGAAGAAAAGCAAACAAACGAACCTGTGCGTGTATCAAAGTATTCAAGCAAAATGCACAGTTCTTTCATTCTTCTGGGCTGGCAAGGTGGCTCAGAGGGTAAAGGAGCTCACCACCAAGCCTGACAAAGTGAGTCTGATCCCTGGTACCCACTTATAGAAGAGTGGAAATGACTCCTACAAGTATCCTCTGGCCAGCACATGGGCACGCCCCACACAAATAAGTAAATGTAATTTAAAATATTTAATTACACAAAGTTTTTCCATTTTCAGGAAGCTTTAGTTATGGGCTATGGGCTCTGTCATTTCAAACCAGGACTTTTCATCTAAGGGCAATTTTATTCCTCCTGGGGACACTGAGCAGGATCTGGAGACATTTCACTGTGACAATACAGCTAATGGACAGATACTAGAGATCCTGCCAAACATCCTGTTGTGCACAGAGAGCCCCTACAACAAATCATTACCTAGCCTGAAACACCAATGGTGCTGGGGCTGAAAAGTTCTTTCCTAAAGTTCCTGCATCAGTCTTTGGTAACTCAATGTGATTTCTTCTGCATTTGGGTTCCTGTCTCATTTTTTGCAAATCTCCACAAGATGCTCATGTAACAACCTGCCTTTGGGCAAAGGTCCTTGGTACATAATTACACTTCTTTTCTGGCTTTGGTTTTCCAGCACATGGAGGAAGTCTGCAGACCTGCTCCTGTGGCTTATTGGAAGGGGAACCATTCATTACGGCCCTGCTCCTTTATTTAAAGAGTCTATACTAACATGTTTCTATAAAGACTGCCAAGAAATTTAACACGAGGAAAATCTTAACACATGACAATTTGCCCGTGAACTATGCATAATATTTTTTATATTTCCTGCTTTCACATGTTGATGGACAAAGAGAAAAATTATTTTAAGTCTGAGGCTGTCAAATCATTGTTTCTAAATTTAAAGTAGAAAATGTGCCCTTTAGGAGCAAAGCCAGATAAATTCATGGAAGAAACCTACTTCAGGTCTAATTTTATGGTATAATTTCAAATCAGTAAGGCAATAGTATGAAATATAGTAATCCCTGAACCTCTCTAAGTCTTTCATCTATAACCTACCTGCTCACAGTAAACTGGGGCTCAGTCTTTGTAGAAAAGAAAAACATTATATTTATATATGGTTCAATTTTAAGGTCTGAAGGGACCACCTGAATATCCATCCTGACAAAAACAAGTTTGCCTGGTGGGTAGAGGGTGAAAGAATCAAGCAGCTTCATACAACTCAATTCCCTCTACACTCACTGCCTTTAATAAAGACTACCATCTGACAGTGTCATATACAAACGATATTCAAATCTTTTCTACAATGGAATAAACCAATTTATCACATTAGATACATGGACTTATATACAGTGAGTTTATGAGACTGCAAAGGGTTACTGACAGGTAGCCTGATGGCTGGTGAACTCCACAGAGAAATAAATTCAAAAGGAAGGCATGTTCTTTCAGCAAAAAGTCAAAGATAATGGTAACGAAAATATTTCTATTTCTGTACTTAGGAAGGACTTACTCTTTCTCCAAGTTGGCTACAACACCATGTACATAATCAAGATCTGTCTGGGAAAGAGAGAAAAAAATTATACCTACAGTCATGGTTTTTATTTCACTTTTAATGCCAGTCTCAAAATGAGATAAATGGTCAGACACACACTAGAAATATTATTGTAAATTTTCAGACGCTCACTCTATAAAACTACACCTCTAGAGTCCTTGGATATTCACTAACTAAGCAATAAGCAGATGTGTAAGTTTTAGTATTTTCAATTGTTAATGCTTAGTTTACTGGAAAAACTGAACACAGTTGGGTGTGGTGTCACATGCCTTTGATCCCAGTACTCAGGAGGCAGAAGCAGGCAGATATCTGAGTTTGAGGCCAGCCTGGTTTACCTAGCCCATTCCAGACCAGCCAGGGATGAACAGTGAGACCCTGCCTCAAATTTTAAAAAAAGAAATGTTTAAACAACTTCAATTGGCATCACTTTTATCCCAGAGAATTGATTCTTTCTGGTATCTAGTGAGAGTGGGGGTAGTAGAGGCTGTAGGATTCCTATGAAAAAAGCTAAACCTGACCTGTCTACAAGCACAGGACCAGGCTCATCCAGGTCTCTAATGAGAGCTGTCCTGGCCCCTTTCCCCAGTGGCTGGGGGTGTGGCTAAGGGCTCAGAGTTGCTCCCTTTAAGTTAAAAGAGTCATTTTACCTAACATTATTTTAAAAGACATATGGAAACTGTAAAAAATGGTATCACTCAAAATCTGTGAATTGAAAACCAGTGTATGTGTATTCCAGAGATGGAGGATGCTTGTGTAAGTGGGAAGTAAATAGGCAATAAAAGGCAAAGAGGGGCTGGAGAGATGGCTTAGTTGGCAAGCTTAAGGACCAGAGTTTGGATACTCAATAGACATGAGGCAAAAAAAACCAAAACCAACCAACCAACCAACCAAACAAACAAACAAAAAAAACCCACCAGGTGTGGTAGCATGAGCCTGTAACCCCAGTGCTGGGGATGTGGAAACCGAAGGATCCCTGGGGTTTGCTGCCAGCAGTATAGTCAACTGGTGAGCTCCACGTTAAGTGGGAGACCCTCTTTAAAAACGCAGGTGCACAGTGATACAGGAAGGGAAGACACCTGACCTTCAACTCTCACCTCTGCACATGTACATGTGCATGTGAATGGATGTGCACCCCACCCTGCATCATCCTCACAAAAGCAAGTAAAAGCATTTTTCCTGGAGAATCAAGTATTTGTCATAATTAAGTAAAATTAGACATTTAATAATAAAATTAAGAGACATTACTAATGTGTGTTGAAACAAGAATTTTGAAAACAAAATATGTGAAAGAAATCACATTGCAAAGGAATATGTATTGAGCTATAAGAGCAAGCACTTGTAAGAAACATCCAGGGCTGGAGAGACGGCTCAGTGACTAAGAGCATGTACTGTCCTTGTGGAGGACTGAAGTTCCAGTCTCAGAACCGCAGTGGGCAGCTAACAACTGCCTGCAACTCCAGGTCCAGGTGGATCCAGCACCTCTGGCCTCCAAAGGCACTTTTACTCACATGCACATACCCCTCCCCAACCCCAGACATACATATAGTTCAAAAAATAAATCTTAAAAGAAGAGAAAAATCAATAGGAGCAGAAAGTAGATTAACAGTTGCCTAAGCTGGAGGGAAATAGATTAATGGATTTTTTAGGGCTGTGAAAATGTTCTAAAACACACCAGCATGAGAGCAACACAACCTGACTTTGGATGAACTGTATTTTCGACATGAATTACACACACAAAAAGCAAGGCATAAAGCTAAATGTAGGAAAATAAGTGTTTCACTTTGTACATATGTAACTGTGGAAGGGCAGGGTCATGCACTCTGGTGCACTCAGCAGTAAATATGCAAAAGCTGTCATAGTTAGCTACAGCTGTCAACTTGACACAAACCCAGATATACCTAGGAAGAGGGAACCTCAATTGAGGAATTTCCTCAGTCAAGTTGGTCTGTGGGCATTTTCTTGATTGCTAATTGATATAGGAGGGCCAGTCCAATGTAGACAGTGCCACTCCTGGGCAGGTGGGCCTGGGCTGTTTAAGAAAAGTAGCTGAGCATGAGCCTGGAGCAAATTAGTGAGCAGTATTCCTCCTGGTTTCTGCTTCAGTTCTTGCTTGAGCTCCTGCCCTAACTTCCCTCAATAATTGGCTGTGACATGAGAGTTAAAAGATGAAATAAACCCTTTTCTCCCCAAGTTGCTTTTGGTCATGATATTTTATCATAGCAACAGGAAAGTAAGTAACACAAAAGCTGAATACATACAAAGGCAGACCTAAGAGGAAATGATGTAAGCGGGAACTGGAAGTCTCAGCATCTTCTCTCCACCACAAAAACTTCGACTGGCAATAATTCACTGATGAGAACATCTTGAAAACCCCAATATTTGTAAAGCTACTGCTGTGCCCTCCTTCCCATTAGGCCAAGACTATATGGAGAAGATGTTCTGGACCCAGTTTCTACAGGAGGAAAAGAGAACAGAAGACAGCCACCCAGCTTCCCTAGCATCCTGAGACATACCCCACGAAGCCCACTCCAGCCTCACCTTGCAGAACACTGGCTATAACAACATAATGACACCACCCAGATCAGATAGACACAAAGAGAGGAGAGGCCACAGTAAAAACCATGCAGATCAGGGTGGTATCTCTGTGTTCCCTGTCGTCTGTGACCCCTGATCTCACAGCTGACATCATGGCCCATTCACAAAGCTGAATGGTCACTTCAGATACACAGAGGAAATTAAACTTTGCCTGAGTTCCCTAAACAGCTGGTCTCCACACCCAGTCTCAGAGTGCAATGCCCTGCAATGGCCCTGGCTCAGTAGCACACCATTCACCTTCAAGCTTCACAGAAGCACAGGAATAAACATGCTTACCCTAAGAAGTTAAGAAGTGGCTCCCCTCAGCCAAAGAGCCTCCCAAAGACCTTGCCTATGCAAGGAGATTCCCATCTCCACACATCAGAGAAGCTTGGAACTAAAGATGTTTGGCCTCAACCCAGCCAAAAAGCTGCCCCACAGCCCCGCCTCACAGGGAAGCCATCCTCAAGTGCACATTCCAGAGGAGCACAGTCTCTCATCCCACTTGAACAGCAACTCTGCCTAACCTGGGAGACCAGTCAACAGCTCCGACAATCTGCAGATCCCCAACAGGGGACTGTGACAGGCCTGAGCAGGAGCTACCACTCTATCAGCCAGCAAGACATCTAACTAGAGAACCCACAACTCTGTCCACATCAGTACCAGATAGCTTTTCCAGGAGAAAAGGCTAGCAGAAATAATGTTCTATCTCTGCAAAGTAATACCTATAAGGGCCAAAAGAGGAAGCTGTCTTCCTAAACTACAAAAAAAAAAACTCCTGGGACCCAAGGGGTCAGGCATAATCAGGGAAAGAATCGTTGTATCCTGTTCCAACCCCTTACCCCTAAGCATCCACAAAGGCCTACTATAACTCCAATAATGGACTCTAAAGCAATATAGATCTATGAAATGATTGGCGAAGGATTCGAAAGAATTCTCTTAAAGTGAACCATAAGAACATGCAATTACCCCTGCCTGGTAGTACAGGCCTATAATACTAGCTGCTCAGGAATCGGACAGGAAGACCACACTTCAGGACCAGCCTGGGCTACAGCATGAGTTCAACTTAGTGAGACCCCGTCTCAAAATTTTACTTTTAAAAATAGGGTTGTTGGGGATACGGCTCAGTGGTAGAGCACTCGCCTAGAATGCATGAGGTCCTAGGCTCACTCCCCAGTGAGAGAGAGAGAGAGAGAGAGAGAGAGAGAGAGAGAGAGAGAAATTAATAAAAAACCTTTAACACAAAAGGAACAAGTTAGACAAATGATATTTAAATAATGAACTATACTGAGTTCCAGGACACAGCTGGGGCTACAGAGAGACCCTGTCTCAAAAACACCAAAAAAAAAAAGAACTAGAAATCCTAGAAATGAAAAAAAAAAAAATGAGTGAAAAATGTAATGGGAAAGCTGTCACAGCAAGTTTGGTGAAGCAGGAGGAACTGGTTCTAGAAGACAGAAGTCTGAAATTACCCAATCAAAGGAAGGAACAAAAAGACAAAAGCGAAGAGTAAAGAAAGCCTGCATGAGCTGTAGGAGACCATCAAGGGGTCAAACCTTCAAGTCAGAGCTGCAAAGGGGAAAAGAGGCCAGGGGCCAGAAAGCCCATTCAAAGCTGTGATTGAAAACTTTCCTAGTCTGGGGCAGATGCCAACATCCAGAAACAGGGAAGACAGAGGTTTCCAACACAATCTGACCGACCTGCACTCTCAAAACTCAAACACAAAGAAGAAATTCTGAACACAGAAAGAGAAGAAATATAGCACACAACACAACAAAGGAATGCCAATACAGCTATTAGATTTCTTGGCAGAAACCTATAGGCCAGGAAAGAAGAATGCAATATATTCAAACCGCAGAAGGAAAAACCTGACAACCAAGAACACCCAGCAGAGCTCTTTCAGAAATGGAGAAACAGGACCTGAGACATGGCTCAGTGGATAAAGGTACTTGCTGCCAAGTCTGAGTTTGATTCCCAGAAACCATGAGGTGGAAGGACAGAATTAACTCCATTAAGTTGTCCTCTGACCTCTTCACTTGCACTGTGCTTGTGCATGCCACTCATGTATCCACATATCCACATAAATAAGTGTATAAAAAAATTACAAAAAAATACGCTGGGCGTGGTGGTGCATGTCTTTAATCCCAGCACTCGGGAGGGAGAGGCAGGTGGATTGCTGTTGAGTTCTAGGCCAGCTTGGTCTACATAGTGAGTTCCAGGCCAGCTGAGGATGTAGGGAGACCCTGTCTCAAAAAAAAAAAAAAAAAAAAAAAAAAGGAAGGAAGGAAGGAAGGAAGGAACCAAAAATCAAAACAAACAAAAATTTATTTTAAAAACATATAAAGAAATGGAAAAACAAAACCTAAGGACATTTACCAGCTTACAGGAATTGCTAGAGTTCTTTAAGCTGAAATAAAAATCCTCTAATAGC